TGTTGGTGTCTAGTTTGTATGTCTGATTAATGCGAAATGAATAAAAAGATATTTTTTTTTTTTTTAAATATAAAACAAAATAAAACAAACAGCGCCTTCTCCAAGTGCATTAACGTTTATTAAAAGACTACTCACATGGGGGTATAGCGAAATAAGCAATAGGAATCAAAACGGGTCCAAGAGAAGTCCAACTAGCTGACGCGTTTCTGGGGGAGCATACTAGCTCTGAGGAAGGGGGAAGCTCCCCCGAAACGCGTCAGTCAGTTGGTGTTCTCTTGGACCCGTTTTGATTCCTATTGCTTATTTTGCTATACCCCCATGTGAGTAGTCTTTTTTTTATTACTTTTTTTATACTCCATTTAATAAACGTTAATGCACTAGGAGAAGGCGCTGTGGCCTTGAGGACGGTAGCCTTCCCCGTCAATGGTTGACATTGAAGAATTTCTCATGCTGAGCGCTGTGGTGTACTACAAGGTTTCCTTTAAAGGTATAAATGTCTGAACGATCACTGACCCATCTCCATGTCTGGGGTTTTACGTAGTTTTTCTCTTTATCATATTACATTTGTTAGAACATTTGTCGTCTGGCTGATAAATGAAGGTTTCACATATCTTTCTGTGTATTCCAGCTACTTGTCAGAGGAGGAGGTCTTGGACACAGAAAATCCCTTTGTACAGCTTGTGAGTGGAGTTGTGTGGTTGTTGCGAAACGGCGAGGTGTATATTGGCCAGAGCAAGAAAGTAGAATGCGACGAGACTCAAACTACAGGTTTGCTACTTTGTCACCTCCCGTCTTCCTCATCCAATTGGCACAGTTTGGGGCAAATTCTATACTAGAGGGAATTATTTTCATAAAATTCCCATTGTAAAAAGTATTTATTTTGAAATATCCGTCATGTTACCTCTAAAGTTGAACTCCAGGAACAAATATTGTCTAAATCCAGGAGTCGTGTATTCTTACTTCAATCTTGGTGAGTTTTTTTTTGTGTATTTCTTCCAGATCTGTGCAGGAATCAAGTGTAAAACTTTCCTCTGCTCAGGAACTTCCTGTAATATACTGCTCTCGGCTCTTGTGCAGGGTGACTGGTCTTGTATCAGCCCCCTCCTGTAGTTTCTGCAAGCAGCCTGTAGTGGGTGGAGACTGCTGGGTCCCTCCCACAGCTCTGCTCTCTGCACAGTACAGTACTGCGATTATGTCACTGTTACTTTTACAAGTTTAAAATCCAGTTTGCAAATGAATTTGGTGCACACAAAGTGAATTTACCTCCTTTGTGGCTACGGAGGAATATATTTTTTTGTGCCTGGAGTTCAGTTTTAAAGGATAAATGCACTTTTAGGTAGGTGATGTGCTGTCAATCCACAAAGGGAAGGCTGATGAGGTACTGAAAAACAACGAGAACAGAGCGCCACCTCCTGTGTTAAATCTTTTTATTAAATGAATAAAGAAGGGGGTATATGTACTCACAAACAAACGTTTTCATCACGCTTGTCAAAAGGCCAGCGGCCACATTGTCGGTTAACCCAGCATAATTCCATCCCGACTACATAACACGGCTGCCTCCGGTCACATCACTAGCCACAGTCAGCTAGAAAGACGCATTTCAGGGGCACGCCCCCTTCCTCAGAATCTTGTAAGGGGGCGTGCCCTTGAAACGCATCAATTAAGCTGAGTGCGGCCAGTGGATGGTGATATGACCGGAGGCAGCCGCGTTATGTAGTCGGGGTGGAATTATCCTGGGTTAACCGACAGTGTGGCCATTGGCCTTTTGACAGGTATGACGAAAACTTTTGTGAGTACATATACCCCCTTTTAATTCATTTAATAAAAGATTTTACACACGGAGGTGGCGCTTTGTTCTCTTTGGTTTTTTTATGTACGTGATGGGAGCCCCAGAGCCTTCGGATGAGCAGCCCCTCAAGATTGCGTGAAGATTCTGAGCCACTTAACAGGGGGTGGCGTGTTTAACGGCAACCATTAGCGCCAGGAGACAACAAAAATGTTTCTGCTTGATGATGTACTGACATCGCAGGATGAGTCTGTTCTACCTCCAGTGCACACTTTGACGTTTGGGTGCATTGGAGGTGTCGGAATCATCTTTTAATTGCATTGCCACCGCTACAGTCCATGGGAACCATTACCCACATCTGGACAGAGCTTTTATGCCTGATATATTCCGAAAGCTTTCTGCAGAGCAATAATGTAAAAAAACAAAGCACATTGATTAGAATTTAAGGATTGCTACAGATGAAAAAAATAATTTGCGTACATTTCACTTTTATATATTTCTTTTTGCAGGAGTGGCCATGCACTATATATGTCCAAAAATAATAAGGGTGATCTAGTCATCCTGAGATATGGCTCTCTCTTCCCAGAGCTGTTCAGACAGATTTCTTCAATAATGTACTGTTCAGCAGACAGAAGTTATTAGCATATACAGCCTGACAATGGGCTTGGGTCAAACGGCATTCAGGCCCACACACAGATGGTATCTCAATGGCTTAGTGTTTCAGGGCTGATTACATAGGACGTCAAGTATACACATATCTTGTATTAAGATGTTAAAGTATTGTATACTGTGTTTAAGTGCACTTTCTTCTTCTTTTCAATACAATTTACCTGCCATTTGTTCACCAGGTAATTTTGATGAGTTTATTGATACGATGTCGGCTAGGACAGCAGTGGGACACGATACAAAGGGACGTCTTATTCTGTTTCATGCAGATGGACAGACTGCGGGGAGAGGGTAAGTCCCTCTACAAGTTAACTACACATTTGCATGTAGGATTCTCATATTAAGTAGCTGTTCATAAGAATTATTATTATTTTAAATCTGCTTTAAATTGAAAAAAACGAAACTATTTGAAATAAATTAGATGACACTTGTGTGAAAATCCTACATTCTTAAAGTAGAACGATGGCCTCCCATTAAAATCGTATGCTGCAGCACTTGGTTATATGTACATCTGCACTCACAGTTTTCTCTTAGTTGCTGTGCAGAGTCCCACAAATATCTGTTGATCCTACCAGTAATGTCCACCTAATGTAGCTTGCTGTGATACTGTGGTTATAGGTCAAGTATAGCACATTGGACTTTTTAGGTACCCGCTCAAAGACTCATCAAAGCCATGATTAAAATGTGAGGAGGAGGTGGGCTCTCTCCCACTAGTTACACTATTCCACCAATGTATAGATAACATAATAGGGATCCTCTAGAGCAGTGGTTCTCAATCAGTGTAACCTCAGGACCCACATTTGTCTTTGGTCATTAGAGTATAATTAAAGTCTCCGGTTTTTTTGGTTTTTTTTTTGCATATATCTACTGCTGGCAAGCAGTAGATATATGCAAAAAGTTTTAAAAAACGCTTTAAAAGAGGTCAATACTTACCTGTGTCTTCCTCGCGCGCTCCCGTCCGAAAATTTGAAAATGCTCGAGCGGCCGCAAAGCATCTTGGGGCGCGAGCATGCGCAGTTCACATTTTCGGCCGGGAGATGAGGAGAGATACAAGGCAAGTCTATGGACAGCGTGCACCCGCATGCAGACACCGTGGGACAGGTAGTGCCAGCAAGGACAGGAGTCAGCGCTGGAGGGACAGATGAAAATGACAGGAAAGAAGAAGATCGGATTAAGAGACATCATTTAAGGTAAGTGCTTTAATTAACATTGGGGGGAGGGAAATGTTTTTTGGACTTTAATGTCACTTTAAGTCGCGACCCAAGTTGCCTTGCAGTGGAATGCATGGCATTGCAGTACCAAGCATTCGGGTGCAGGCAATCGGACTGTGGGCGGGAGGTGCATTTGGGGTGTCATTCAAATTAATGGTAACCCAACATACCTTCCACACCAGAACGTGCAGTAGGTGCGATTGCATGGCACAGTGTTACACGCACTGTACTAGTTTGAACGGACTCTCAAAAACACTGACAGACACACACAACCACAGACACAATCTCACACACACACATACTCTTTTTTTTTTTTGTTTTGTTTTTTAAGATGCACCCAGTCTTCCTACCTTACGAGAACTGGAATGGATCCTCAGCTTGGGGTCCAGTGTAGGCTGCTGTGCTGTGACGGAGCTCCATCCATATGTGCATTGCTTGTACAGCTCCCTTGCGTTCCCTGTAGAGGTGCCAGGAGCCAGAATGTGAATGGCTGTTTGGCGCGAGGAATTGATGGTGCTGCGATAGGGGGGCTGAAGAGTCTCTCACCTAGAAAAGTGGAAGGCATGTGGCGACCCACCAGTTGAGAACCAAGGCTCTAATTAAGGGGCCCTAATTAAACAGGATAGCCAGAGGCTGTGAGAGGCTGGATACCCTTATTAGCTCTCATGTGGGGTCAGCTATCTACAATTCTGACAATATGGAGGAGTAGAGTACAGGAATTGGTGGACATCAGTGCTAGAATCATCTGTATCTATTTTACCTGATTTAATGGGGCTTCCTTAAAGTTATCCCTACACTCGCCCATGATACTTTTAACAGGCATATCTTTGAACGCGTTTCTATGGTGACTACTATACTATACTGAATGCCTCACTAGAAATCCAGAGGAAGTGGAACATACATCTGTGAAACGCGTTGGCATAACCCCATCTTGATTTCCTACTCTAATCTATCTATGGAACTCGGTCTGGATTATCCTGTGAGATATACGGAACAAGATGGGAAATATAAATACCATGGAGTGATATCAGATGGGGATATATAGAGGCATAACCTGTATTGATGTCGCTTTGGTCAGTTCCAAACTATATGTTGTTTTATTACTTTTAAACTGTTGTTTATTTAATACATTATTGTATTGTTCTATACAAACATATTGTCTTTGAGTGGATACCAGAAAAGTCTGATGACGGCCACAATTCGCACGTTCAGACCCAGATTTTCGGCTGACAGTCCAGTCTTTAAACACTTTAACAACAGCTGCTCTTGAACATTTAACGAATTCTGCTGTTTTGCTGATACTCGCTCCATGGCTCCGAGCGCCAACAATCATTCCACGTTCAAAGGCTGTTAAATCGCGTTGTTTCCCCATATCTTCAGAAACAAATCACTTCTACTGTCGTGGTAAATAACCTGTTTCCCTATTTATAATGGTCTGGCCCTCTAGCAACTTCAGCGTGAAATTATAGCTAATTTGCCTACAAACGTCAGGTGGTCATAATAATCTGGCCACTCAGTGTATATGTCAGGTGCATTCCGTTTGGCAACAAAGTATTTCTTTCCCTTCAATTACACCATGTCGTGCAATCTAGGTAACTAAGAAAAAGGATGGGATGGGCAGGTCTGTAACCTCAGCTTTGCTTACACATGGAGGTCAGAGATTATTCTACATGGACTAGCTATTGCTAGAGATACTTCAAGACTCTGACAGATACCTTCTGGTTGGTATTCAGCAGGACTGGTACAATGGGGCACAGACAGCAAAAATACAAGGGCTTGATTAGAGTAGATGAGTAGCGTTTAATCACAATATTGCAGTTTAACATGATCTTTTCCAAAAACGAATATCTTCATTACTAAAAAAGTATGGAGGATCATTGCTCCTTGTGACACCACCAGTGCTTGGCTATCAGTTATGTCATGAAATATCTCCAGCTCACTGTATAAGTGTGAATATGTTTTGTAGGAGAAAACGAAAAAACTGAACATGTTGTCTTTTGAATCTTCAGCCTAAGCTTGTGGGAGATGGCCAATTTCCTGAAAGCTCAAGGTGTTTACAATGCCATAAACCTTGATGGAGGAGGATCAGCCACTCTGGTACTTAATGGGACTCTGGCCAGTTATCCTTCTGACCACTGGTATGTACTGACATTTCAGTCTTCTCTAACCACAATAAGGGATATATTTCTATTTGTAGCGAAATTGCTATGTAGGGTTAATGCATAACATGGAGTGGATGTTGGGCTGAACATTTACAGAAGAGTGCTTGGCTATCAGTTATGCCATGTAATATCTCCATAGCTTTTATACTATACCCATTAACATCTTCAGAGACTATGAAGCTCTCCAAGGGCTATGTATTGGATGAATGGTCTGGGGCAAGTTGTTTTAAATAGTATTGCTTTTTTTTTCCACAGCTGGTTTAAAGTTGATCTCCAGCCTTACATTCAGTCTTGCACAGTTGCACAGGCTCCTCTCCTGTAGCAAAATTGCTTAGTCTGTTTTCACTGCACAGACCGAGCACAAATTGCATTGCAGCCCCCTAGCAGTTGCTCTTAATCCTTCAGCAATTTAGATAATCTTTACAATGAAAGTTAAATGCTAAACGTCAGTACACAATGCAGTGGATGATCTTCTGTATGTGGATCCTTTTGCTGCTACACACCATTGTTCACGGTTAACTTATTTGCAGACTGTCACAATATTAATTCTTGTCTTTTTAGCCTGAATGACTCAATGTGGCGCTGTCAACGGAGTGTGTCTACTATTGTCTGTGTCCATGAACCATACTGTGATCCCCCTGACTGTGGAGGCCACGGACAGTGTGTTGCAGGAGCGTGTCATTGTACCGGCTACTGGACGGGAAGTTCGTGTGATGTCCTCCTTTGTGGTCCTTCAAACTGTAGTGGTCATGGGATGTGCACCCAGAGTATGTATTTATTTATGTTGGTGTCTCTCATTCCGTACCCATTTTTAATGATGTATTCATTTACATTTGAAGAGAAACCTTTTAAGGATACCCACCCTAATAACTGACGAGGCCATAGAATTTAATTCACAGTACATTTCTAAAGGCTTTTTAACTTATTTTCATAAAATAGAGTGGGATCTGCTGTGTGCAAGCAGTTATGTTAAGCTTGCAGTCCCTTCATCCATTCTTTGATTATCTCTTTGGGGGCTCCTTGAGAGCAGCTCTGCCACTAATAGAGGACTTTAGGAGCCTTGGTTCTTTCTGGGGAGATGAGGCTTTAAAAGAGAACTATGGGGTAAGTGTTTTTCCCCATAGTTCTCTTTAGGGTCACGGGAGGACATATACTATCCTCCTCCCGTGACCCAAAGCTCAGTATATCGCGGTTTATTGCCCGCAATATACTGAGAGCGCCGCAGGCAGGATGGATCCCGACAATGCTGCGTGAGTGACAGCTGGCTCTGCCTATCTAGAGGCAGAGCCAGCTGTACCCGCCCCCCTCCCCTGTTCGGTTCTCCACTCAGCACTGGAGGATCGGAGAGGGGAGGGGGAAATCCCTGCAGGGAGATGATCAGGGAAGTGAGCCAATCGGTGCATGTTTCTGCTCACTTCCCGATTGATAGAGCCAACCTGTGACAACTTCTTTGTCTCACAGGTTGGCTCTAACTATGAGGATGAGTGGAAATCACTCACCTCCTAGTTCTCCTTTTTAACTATGGAAAACCATACAAAAAAGGTTTTCCAGCCCCCTTACCAACCAGTCTGCAAAAAAACGAATTATAGTGTCCAACTATTTGCGTTAAAAACAGAGGTTTTAGTTGCACAACGTTTTTAAAATATGTGGAAGCCACACTGGCTCGTCAGGGCTATTTCTTTGTAGTGTGGTCTGAACTTTAATCTATTGGAGCATATATAGCATTGGATAAAGTGAGTGCTGGTATGCCTGGAGGTAGCCCATCCCTCCTTAAAGGCACAGACACCAGAAGCTTCACACCTCACAGTGGCAGCTGAAGCCCCCAGTTTTGTTTAGATTGTATAGAACTGTTCAAATGGCACCAAAATGCACATATACCCATACAGTGTGTTATTGTGTATTGCTGTACCATGTTTTATAATTGTTAGGGGATTTAGAAATATGTGCAGCTCCCTTAATGTGCAAATCTAGACTTTACCCATAAGTCACATTAGGCCCAGCCCGCTTCTGCTTCATCGGCATCTCTGTTGTTCCCTTGTTTGGTTGTCTTATTTATCAAATAGGAGGTTCAGAAAAGGGGGAGGATGTGGGCCAAGTGAAACATTTAGTCTAAGGGAAATATATTACATCTTGGTTCAGTATATTGCTCATCATTTAGCCTGTTTACTCTAATGTTCAATTCCTAAACTGTTCTACTTTATTTTTCTGCAGGTGGTTGTAAATGTGACGCTGGCTGGAATGGCAGTAACTGTAGTAATGGTAATTTTCAAGCTTACATCATTTACGTAGTTAAAGGGCTACAAAATTAATTAAAGGGATAGAAGGTCTGAGTTATGAAGACCACCTTCAAAATGTAAACTTATTCACCTTAATTGCAGTCTTCAAAATCATCAATAGACACTACAATATTTAGAACAAACTGTTTAATCTGAAAACTGTATTGAGAACACGGGGACACAACAGGAGGTTGGAGGAAAGGGGGTTCAATCTTAGAATTCGTAAGGGTTTTTTACTGTACTGTGAGAGTTGTAAAATTGTGGAACTCCCTTCCACAGGCGGTGGTATCCGCAGATATCGTTGATAAATTCAAGAAACTCAAAAAAATGAGTTTCTTACCTCATGTTGGGTACGAGGTGTGGGCCCGATATGATGAGGAGGACCTCCCTTGCAACCCCGTCTGATGACCACTGGGGTGGAGACAGTGTGCTCAGGCAGGGGGTGCACGTGTGCCGGATCACGGGTTTCAGTTGTCTGCAGCAGATGATAGTGGAGCAGAGTAGGCAGCCGTGCAGAGGTAGTGGAGACAAGCCGGGTCAATATTGGGCGGGCAGCGAAGTACCAGACAGGATCCAGAGAATGGTCAAGGGATAAGCCGGGTCGGTATCAGGCGGGCAGCGCAGTACAGATGGATAATCCAAGGGGAACGTCAACAAGGAAGCCAGGTATTTGGGTAATCAGGAGTACACAGGAGCAGATCACAGATGACTGGTGCTGACTAGCTCAGCAATGAATCCCAGTCCTATGGCGCTTTAAATAGGCTGACACATCGTACCGCGCATGCGCCGACGTGATGACGTAATCCGCGCATGCGCAGTAACCTAGCGTCACACCGTGCGGGGCGGTCCCCGCCGGGTCACAGGGCACCCGTGACTGCGCCTGCGCGGCCTAGCAGCGCTGCCGGAACGCCCCCTCTGTGCATGTCGCCGCACAGTGGCCTGGATTGGGACACGGCAACTCCCGCGGGACGGCACCCGACAAGGCTGACGAGCCACCCGGACCGGACCCTGACCTGCCCGGACCGGGACCCGACACCTCACTTCATCTATGAAAATATGGGCAGTGTTAGAGCCATACAAATATAGACACACAATAACATACACTCATACACACACAGGTTAAACTGGATGGACCCTTGTCTTTATTCAACCTTACCTACGATGGTTCTATGTTACAAAGTGACACTAAACTCAGGAGTTAAATCCTAAAAATGTATTTAGGTACCTTTTTAACTTTTAGCAAAATGTACAAGTAGACATGTTCACTTTCAAAGTGAATGTTCACTAATCTAAGTGAATGAGGTAAATTTAAAAGAAAATTAAAGTGACACTAAACTCAGGATTAAAATCTTGGTTACCAGCACTCACTTTATCCAATGCTATATATGCTCCAATAGATTAAAGTTCAGACCACACTACAAAGAAATAGCCCTGACGAGCCAGTGTGGCTTCCACATATTTTAAAAACGTTGTGCAACTAAAACCTCTGTTTTTAACGCAAATAGTTGGGCACTATAATTCGTTTTTTTGCAGACTGGTTGGTAAGGGGCTGGAAAACCTTTCTTTTTGTATGGTTTTCCATAGTTAAAAAGGAGAACTAGGAGGTGAGTGATTTCCACTCATCCTCATAGTTAGAGCCAACCTGTGACAAAGAAGCTGTCACAGGTTGGCTCTATCAATCGGGAAGTGAGCAGAAACATGCACCAATTGGCTCACTTCCCTGATCATCTCCCTGCAGGGATTTCCCCCTCCCCTCTCCGATCCTCCAGTGCTGAGTGGAGAAACGGACGGGGGAGGGGGCGGGTACAGCTGGCTCTGCCTCTAGATAGGCAGAGCCAGCTGTCACTCACGCAGCTGGGCGGATCCCGTCATCTAAGTCGGGATCCGTTCCAGGTGCGGCGTCTCAGTATACCGCGACGCTAGTTTGTGTCCGCCCGTTACCCCAAGGAGAACTATGGGGAAAAACACTGACCCCATAGTTCTCCTTTAACTCCTGAGTTTAGTGTCACTTTAGTAATAAGACTGGCACCAGCAGTAGGTATAGGTACCCTTGGGTCACAGCATCTTCCCAAGAGCTTTTAAAGGTGGAGAAACTGAGCCTGTATGTTCCTAAACAATGTTTACCCTAAAAAAAGAACTGCTAAAGTGCACGCACCATAAATCTTTTTCATTTATAAAATCGGTCTTTTAAGGAAAAAAAAAAGTTCAGTTATATCAAAATAGAAGATGCTGCGTATAACTAAAGTAAGGCAGCAAAGTAAATGTAGCATTATAAATCGGTAAACACTGATTTGTAAGGTTCCTTATCAATATGCAAACATTGCTTTCCCAAATCTTGGGAACTGGTTCATGTCAGAAGCAAAAACAAACCCCAGTGTACAAAGTCCCTTAAGGACAACAAAGGAGAGAACATGGAGGAATGCTGACAATGTCTGACCAAGGGGAAAACAAACTCAGCACATCAAAAGGTTCTATTTTTCTAGCCGTTGAGTGTGTAGCTATTTGTCTGTAGGCTGATGAGTTAAGTGATCATAATCAATTCACACCCGTTTGGGTAAAAATGTATTAAGCTTGAGAACGTGGGAGCAGTATTAATGGCGGAGGGCATCAATAAAGTGTACTGGACATCCAGATAAGCAAGTGATGTCATCATTTGACATTTACTATGTGGAAGGAATGAATGTTCTTTCACTGTTAATATCACTGTTAATATTCCACGTTCTTCTGTCCAGCATGTATTCAGGGTTACTACGGAGATGGTTGTGCCAGCAAGTGTCAGTGCCAGAACAATGGGACATGTGACCACATTAATGGGAACTGTATGTGTCCAGATTCAAATCAATGGGCTCAAATCTGTGAAGGAAGAAAGGGTTTAACAATATTTATATTTTAATATAATAATGCATAAATAATGCATTACTGTATTATGTTTACCCAGGATTCGGCCATTGTAAGATGAAATCCAATTAGAAAAATGTTTGAGTGTTAGGTGAAAATATTTATAAATAGACCCTTTTGCACTGTTATTGTGATGTAAAAGTGCACTGTATACACGAGTAGTGAGTTCAGCAATATCTGTGTGTCTGATATACTATTTATAATTATATTGCCTAACAATATAAATGTCTTATTTTTTTGCAGTGTGTCCATTGGGTTTTTATGGTTTACAGTGCCAGAAGGTTTGCCTTTGTGAAAAGCAGTGTTACTGTGACCATGTTACCGGGAGCTGCAATGTTACTCGTGCACCTGTAGTGACAGAGCTACTTATGAAAGGTTCGCTTTTATTTGTTTATAAAAAAAAAACTTCAGATGTATTCTGTCTGGTTTGACTGCAATAAAGACTCCAGTGTGTTTATGTGCTTCATTTGAATTAATGTTATTTTATTTCAGTTGGTTATTGTGTGGAATCGCTGATGTATGCGTCTTGGTGGAAAGCAGTGCCTTCTGATTCCAAAATAATATATTTCACTGAGTAAGTTTCTTTTTTCTCTATTTTTACAAAAGTTCCTCTCTTTCTAGGTCACGGACACATGCTTTCACATAAGGGTGAAAGAAAGGGTCAGCTTAGTGTTTGCACATGCATACAGGCAGGCTCTCACAAAAGTCAGCTTCATTTACGTACATGTGGCCAGGACTGTACAGGCCGATCTAGGACAAAAGGGAACAGAAAAAGGGAACTGGCCGTACCAGACGATACAGTGCGCAAGGACTGTAATATGTAATATTGCGGTTTATAAACTACTGACTGGCTTTCCCTCGAGAGCCAGTGCATGAAACAAGAAGAGATCACCGCTAAACTGTTAATGCTATTCAGGAAATAGTGTAGATTTGCTACTGAATGCTATTCAAGTGGTTGACTTTTATGAAAAGTTTAGTGCAGCCAGATTTTCTGCAAGGGTGCCTCCATCAGCTAATCGGCTGCTGTGGAGGCACCCATGCGCGCACGCTCACAGCCGTGCCCGCACCTTGCTGTGTGAGTCTATAGCGTGCAGCCGGCCACGCCCCCACTTTTACAGTCACCATGAGCCTATGGCCCCTCTGCCCTCAGTACCCTCCCCCACAACCAGGAAGTATCTTCCCGGTCGAAGCAGAGATTACAAGCGACCACAGGTAAGTGTGCGGGGAGACGGGGGGTATTAGAAAAGTACTGGGTGTTTTTTGCCTTAGTGCAGAGAATGCATTAAGGCAAAAAAAAAAAACACCAAGCCTTTAATACTACTTCAGGGTGGATGATTCTATATGGAGACATATAAACAAAGCTATAGTGAGTTGAGACAGGACAATACTTGACGTAAAAAACACAATGACTTCATTTTGTGCAAGCTGAGATTTAGCAGACAAGGATATTTGTAACTATAGGGATTTAGTTGAGAGGGTAGCCCTCCCCTAAGACTAACCCTGGCATGCAAATGGGAACCGGACAGCAGTTAAGCTCAGTTTCCTAAATCTAAGTTTAAAGGCTAAGTTCACATTTAAAGAAAATAGGCAATGCAGTCAATGGCCCCAGGTAGTAATAACAATTGCGCAGCTTTTAAAAATGCGTAACAATGCAAATGCAATACCTGTAGGCCATCATCGCATCCCTCCCCTCCAGTAGCCTGGCCAAAAAACTCCCATAGCTATCTGTGCCCCGTCCTGTCATAACCTTGTAGCTGTTGGATGACCCCCGGCATCACGCAGCAAAGATAAAGCGCACTTCCTCATTCTAATCCCTGCGCGTGGACACTCTCCTGTCGCAGCATTGCTGAGTGGATGAAGGCATCAAGGGCTGTTTGTGGGATATTCGATCCGGGTATGGCTAGCATTAGTTACTGACATATGTAGGTCACACAGATTCTGATTTTCATTAGTCCGTGTATGTAGCTGACCACACACCAGTAGAATTTCATTAGAAAAAAAAAAAATTCTGAACTTTTCTTCAATTTTTCTTCTAGTTAATTGGATCAAATTAACAGTTGTTTTAGATGTCAGATGAATTTCTTACAGTGAATGTGGTTTTTGTTCAGGAAACTGTTCATTTCCAAAAACCAAACAAAATTTCTAACAACATTCCCAGATGGCATTATCAAATGTTCTGACAAGATTTTTCGTCTGAATGTTAGTATGAAAATCTACCAGTGCATGGCCAGTTTACCTACATTGGCAACAAACAAGACTAGAGGCCACCACCTAAAGTTGGTGGAGAAAAAATTCCAGCACAATACGGCCGTTCTTTACGGGCCGGCTGTTAGTCGTATGAATGAGGCCTATAGAAGAACTCTGGGCAAAACTTTTCTTAGCTGCTTGTTTTTGTCTAGGTTAAAAAAAAAAAGAAATCTGACTCGAGTATAAGCCGAGGGGGGCACTTTTCACCCAAAAAAATGGGCTGAAAATCTCGGCTTATACTCGAGTATATACGGTATATACACACCTGAACCATGGAACCGGCTTGTTTTTAGACCGGTCCTTCCAGCCTCTCTCCCCCTCCGCTGCAGCAGTATAAGATGCCATAAATCATCACGTTCTATAAACTGTGTGTAGATGTGAGACGCTGAGGAGCATTTCAATGCTGTAGCGGAGGAAGAGACAGGCTGGAGGAAGCGGTGTCACAGCCGACTGAGCGTTGGGCAAGTATAACTTTATTTTGGTTCCTGGAGATCTTCTTTGATCCAATTAGGGACACATAAAAGTCGAATTGGTACATGTCGGTAATTAAAAGAATTAGTATCCCTGATACTTATATAGTGGTATAATGTTTAACCTACCCTCTTCTTTGCAGACAAACATGGGCAATAGTAAGCTGCACTCTTGCTGTGCTCCTCGTGATCAGTGCTGCATTTAATATCAAGCAAGTATGGACATGCAGAGAAAGACGTACAGATTGGACCTATTCCTACCAGCAGCTGCGAGAAATGAATGGAAATGTGGATGTTCCTGATATGTATGAGGCCTGTGACTTGTACAACTCCGATTTCGATGTGGAAACCTCGCACCTTGAAAGTGGAAGTTGAAGTCTGGGGTGTAACATAAAGCAGATGGATCAGCACCTACCTATGCAGTCTGTGACATGCAGAAACCTTGTGCCTTAACCTCATACTGGGGTTTCAAAGCTTGAAGATATTGAATGAGTATTCCATCAGATATCTGATGATAATGGTACAGTATTCAGGACACTGTTATGATCTTGATAAAAGGTATATGTATTTTATTATATGGACTGCATTGCCATGACACTGGATTTATGTGTTAGAAAGTTCCTTTTTGTACTTGTCCTCCACTGTTCAAGTGCCAAATATGTTTTCTGTCTTATAGCTAGTGGAGGGCACATGTTTGTATGTACAGAAGCAGACAAGGATTTCTATCTTATCTGTAAACTTCCTGATTTTTTATTTATATATATATATACACACACACAAAAAATCTGAACTACCTGCTTTACACACAGACCAGTTACTATGTGGAAATGGGTGGTGTAAAAGTCACGGAGGGTTGCAGCAGGTGATGTGTTTAAATGTACTCTTGCTTGGTTCTATGAATGTTATCTACTACTATGCTGTGAATACCCTGAACAATTTGTAATTTGATTCCCTGCAATTTCAAAACAAACAAAGCTGAATGAGTCAGAAGATATTTCCACCCTCCCTCCCTGTGTGTTGGCTTATACTGACTGTATGGATTTTCAATTAGAAGCAGTCATCTAGTGAGCAGGCATTGCAGGGCTTTGTTTTGGGTTTTTTTTAACCAGTATCTCTGATTTTGGAGTTCAGCTTCAGCCCAGTCCAAGGGTGCTATCTGATATGTCACTGTAACTGTAGATTGTTGCTCTTTGAATACCATCAGGTCTGAAAAGACAGACTATAGTCCACTAAGCTTTTGAAACAACAAAGGACAAAGGTCCAATTGTTTACAAGGGGCTCTGTGATGGACACTAGGGGATAGGAGATTTGAAACCAGAAATTCTATAATGCAAAGAGCAGTACAGTACAGGATTACATGCTAACCAATCACATTTTAGTATCTGTGGTTTACAACTCTCAGAACAAGATGACAATGTTGATGACATATCGTGTGTTCTTTGCCTTATTAAAGTATAACTGCACTTTGAGTTCTTCTATTCTCCCTTGTCTCTTAAGTCTGTAAATCCTGACATGGAGGACCCCGCAGCCTTCCAATGTTGTTATTTACTGCCATATTGATGGATAGAAAGCTGCCCCAGGCCAGGCCACCCATAGAAGGGACGTTGTGGCTGATCAGCTCATTACATCACACTCTAGTGATGGCCGGGAGTGGCTTCTTTACCACCACAACAGCAGCACAGAGAACACTGGGAGGCTGCAGGCCGAAGTGTGTGTGAGATAATCCATTACCTTAAGGCTGGGTTCACACCTAGGCGTATTGAATATGCGCATTTGTTTATGGCTGGTGTACCGGCATTCACATACAATTTGGACACCCTGATCCTCCTCACAGGCCGGTTTGCTCCTGGTTCCCAGACCCACACAAGTAAGTGGTTTTTCATATATATATATACACATTGTTTCCCTTGTCACCTTCCCTGCTACGTCCGATCCGGTCAGCCAGCTGACCTAGTTTTGCGCCCTTTTGTTTTTTGGTTCTCGTTCTGGTATTCATATCCACAGGCACTCCTCCTGGGTCTCAGGGCTGCATGCTAGTTAGGGTCACATTATCCACCTCCCCAAGATCACTTCAAGAGCGCTGTTTGTACGATTTGTGTTTTTTTAACCCTAGACTGTATTGACTGTGTGCGTGTGTAGACTGATTGTATGGGCATTTATCATGATTTAGACATTTTATTTCCCTTGTGTAGACATCCAAAAGCCCTGAGATTGCTATTAGGTGCTGCCATATTGGGAGTGATGTCTGCAGCCCCAGCAGACTCTGAGCTGTCACTCAAACAACAGTCTGTAGTGTCCCCCCTCATCTGGCTGCTACATAAAAAGCTATGTAGAGTGGTGAGGGGAAAGTGGAGATTGCTGGGCCAGCACAGGCAGTTCGACACTCATAGAAGAAGAGCTTATCTCTAAGTAGAAAGGGGACTCTGCTAGGAAATTGACTTGAAGTCCTGAAGTATTCAAATTTTCTAGCAAGGTCAAAAGTATAACAATAAAAATAATTTTATAGAAAGAAAAAAAACTCTGTAAATAAGCATTTTAAATACTTAATTTGTCTGTGCTTTCATCTGCCATTTTCTAAGTTGGTGACAGGTTCTCCTTAAGGCAGTGTCGCAGGTCTCTGAGCTCCCTGTTCTGCTCCGGTTATGTGAAGATTATTTGATGAGTTGTAATTGGTGAGGGTGCTCTCCGCACACCTTTCAGCAGTCCCAGCCAGTAGAGATAAGGTGCTTGCAGTAACTCCCACGGATGGCACCGTGTAATGCACAAAGTAGAAAGAATAGGTTACCAGCACTCAGATTGATTTCAAATAGATAAGTCCTTTTTATTGGACATACGTGTCACAATAGTCAAACAGCCAACGTTTCGGGGCCACGCAGGGTCCCTTCCTCAGGGCAAAAGATGTGACAATGTGATGGTGTCCACACACCACATATATACCCCATGATGTGAACCAATTATCAATAGACACCCCCCCAGTGATGTCAGAATGGCGGGAAAAACGCCATTTTTAAAATACATAAACATGTTTAAAAAACACATATATACTATCCATGTTACTCACAGATCTGCTAAGGATGTAAATAGTGTGAGGCAGAGTTGCGATCCGGTGTCCTTCTGTGATATACACAGCATCGCCTTCTGTCCTGGTTAGACGCATATGATAGACGTCATTCGTAACCAGGGTGATGGGGAGATACAATTCTCCACGATTCTAGTACGCATGCGCCAGCCGGAATATCGGCAGAGTGTGGAAAGAGCAAGCGTACAGCTATTAGCATTACACAGGCACAGCACCATAACCTCAGAGTGGGGAAATAATATAATCCCATACAGCATTTAAATCGAGATCTTTATGGGAAAATGGATAAAGCAGTAAGAAACTTAGATAGATAAAATACCATATTGAAAAAATGTGGGTGAAATAAAGAAAAAGTACTAACTACATATATACATAGACAAAACAACACACAAGGACGACAGGACATATTAACATGAAATGTGGAAACCATAAAGGATCACCTCGGGAATCAAATGGTTGAATATATATGTGCCCTTTGATGAGGACTTCGAGCAGAAAAAAATAACTGCAGTCTTTCTCTTTCCACAGAGGGAGAGATTGTACTGAGCCAATGAAAGCTCCTTCTAGTGGTTAACATACAAATGTTTATATTTAAAAGTATTACAAAAAATGAGGAAGAGCAATCTTTCCAAATGTTTACATTGCATCAACAATGACTTTATAGGAAACCTTTCCTAAGAGAAACGTGGAGGCTGCCATGGACCTCTAACTTTACTAATATGATTATTTGTTCCATGTCAGTAACTTAGAAAGTATTGAAGCCAGAGGATTAGCATAATATCCAAAGAACTAGAATTTTTGGAAGGAGATTAGCAGTGGTGGTCCCTATATTTCTCTCATTACAGGTTTTGTTTTTATGATTGGTCTTCAGCAGATGTACTAATCGTTGAATTGTTGTAAACCAGTTTAATGTGTGGTTTAAGATCCTTTGAAAAGTGACTATTATTGGGAGTTAACACTACAATAATCATAAATATCTGCTTGCTTGAAATAGATTGTACCTTCCCTCTAGAGAAGAACTAAAGGAAAAATGTACCCTTGCAGTGGGGCATACACCCACACTGCAAGGGTTAAGCGTTCATTTCATCTAGGGAGCTCAAATAAAGCCGTATTACTCGCATAATTCTTGGTCAGCACTCTCCTTTCTCTCCCTCCGCTCCGGCTGTGGGATGTCCATCAGCATCCTCAAGTCTAAGGCGTGGTTCACACTGAGCGTTTTGTAGTGCTTTTCCTGCCCTTAAAAACGCTCAGAAGATATGCTAAAAAAAAAAAAAACCCCATTCATTTCTACGGGCCTGTTCACATCTCAGCGTTTTGTTACAATAAGCAAATTGCATTGCAAGTACATGAGCTTTTTTTGGCATATTACAGCTCGTTTTGGCCCCATAGATGCTTGAAAATGTGTGTTTTACCTTTTTGTTTTTTGCGTGTTTATTCGTTACATTAATGAGCTATGATCTGCTCACAAAAACACGCAATTTTATTTATGCGCATAAAACGTGCATAGAAATACGCAAAAACTCTGTCGCTTAGGTGTGAACCCAGCCTAATGCAGGTCAATGGACCTGCATAGTACGTGATGATGTCAACAGTCCTTACACCGCCGGAGCCTGGGGAGGAGAGGCTGCAGAGAGCTGACTTGCAGCCCAGAGGGAGTTGGAGAGACCGAGGATCATAGTTACATAGTATTTGAGGTTGAATAAAGACATAAGTCCATCAAGTCCAACCTATTGCGTGTATGCATTAGATCAGTTGGATAATACAGCTTTCCTAGGACTTAACCCACATGGGGATAACAAAGTTTTTTTTGTGTACCCTATTTGAACTTCATTGGCCACATCTAACCTTGGTACTATTGTAAACCTTGATTTAAAGTGTAACTGCATTTCCACTTGTATGGCTGGGGGACTGGATGCAGGACAACCTACAATTTAGGTGTACTGCACTGCACCAAAGATGTAGGATTAGGAATTGCATCCTAAACTGTTCAGCACTTTGTAATCTATTTTGTGATGCAATTATAAATTGTTTGGTGACAGTTACAATTTCTTATAAGCATTAAGGATTGTGTTTTTGTTAAAAAAATTCTATTTTTACAAATTTTGCCTTCTTTGTACGTACGCACAAACTGAGCCAAAAATGTATTCTTGTACTTTGACACTGAGCCAATAAAGAAATGATGAAAAAAAGCAGATGTTTGATTGATTGTATGAAATGTTGTGGCATTAGTTGTTTGCTTTCTGATGTGGCTCCTCTAAGTACCATTTTTATGTTTCTCGCACAGCAACACCCATTAATGGGGCACAGCTCTACCCAGTGTGCTAAGCACTCCAAAATATATCTATCTTATCAGTAGTGTATGTGCTCCTACTTAAACCCTAATTCCTCTCACAGCAGCTGTGCAAAAAGATGATCAAAGTGCATAAAATATATGGATGGGAAACTACAATTAATAATCAACTGTTCATAAAAGTACCATTGGGCATCAAACTTTGGGCAGAACATTTGGTTTTGTTT